CTTCTTCAACCGAAGCATATTCATGCAGATAAACTCCAACCAAACTCAGGTGTAACAACCTCAATCCAATGCTACCATTAACCAGAATACATTTACATACTTTCAACATAGTAAAGGGAGCAGCTAGCTATGAAAAATGCAGCAAAGGTGCAAAGGGAGAAACTTGCGGCCAAATGAAGTTTCAAACAGAGTTGGAATAGCTAACGCTACAAGATAATGCCATTCTTGCGGCCTGGCACTATGCCACACATTTCTGCGCTTAAATGGCAGCAAACATATATCATAACTCGCCATTCAATAGGCAAACAGACCAACAACCAAATCAGGCCAAACTAACCTCAAGACTGCACCGAAACACAATAAAAGCAACTATTTGAGCAAATAAACAAGCAGGAGAAAGGAGAATGAAGACAACATAACAAAAGGCAGCAGGCATAATGTAGCAAGCAACGTGAGGACTTGCAGCAATTTCATTTAACCAGGAACTTCCTCAATAGTATTGTTAGCAACACAAATTCACATACCTATTCCCACCAAAATTCAATAACACATACGAGAAAACAGCACAGATGCAAAGCAAAAACTCAACAACAAAGTAATGACTGTTGCTGCACTATCTCTCAACCCAAACTATCTGGTCCCAGGAAACAAGATCATCAAGCAAACTATCCCCAAAAGAAACACAAGTAGACAACGAAAAGGAAACATCTTTGTCCTATGAAATGCACGAAACTGTAAGGAAATAGTCCGAGATAACCACAAATTCGAAAATAGATTTAAGCAAGACTTCATCTTTTTAAAAGCTTGGACTGGATTCTTCCTAAAGTAAACGACCATAGCTACGATAGTTCAGCAACAAACAAGTGCAGCCTGCTAAACCGAAATCCAAAACATGGCAATAACCCGCGCCTTATCTAGAGGATTTACCTTCTACATGAATTGGAATGAATAAAGAGGGGTTGGAGAGTTACCTCCCTCTGCCTGATGAGGCTATTTTTCAATGAAGGTGAAACGTTCCGAGAAAGTCGTGAGGATTTTTGCTGAAACGAGGGCCCAGGAAACTTCGTTGCAGCAAGGTTCTTCCGGTGATGGTTGTCATAGCAGGGTTATTCGTGTGGATGGTGGTCGTCGTAGACTCTCCCCCTCACTCAGTTCCTCTCTCGGCAGTCGCCCATTCTTCTCGTCCAGCCGTCAACACCCCCAGCCATCCTATCTCTCCCTTCTTTCTGATTTTCGTAGCTCCCTCTCCAATGTTCAGTAGCCACTCTCTCTACTTTCTTCCTTAGCCGCTATCTCCTCTCTCTGGTTTCTTTTCTCATTTCCTCACTCAACCCACCGTCAAAAGCCTCCTCCATTTTCCCTTCGGCCGTCCCCTTAGCTATCTCCAGAGCCCTCTTCTCTCAAACCTTCTCAAAGACTCTCTCTCGGTTTCTCCCTTGCCGTTCCTCCTCTAGCTTTTTCTTTTCCAGCTGCCTTTCTTTCTTTTTATCAGCCGTTCCCCCCCTCTTTTCTTGCGGTCTGTTTTCCTTTTATATCAGAATCCAACTCTTTAAACCCTCACATCAAGGGTGTTGATGAGAGCCAAATGGAATAGAGTTAAAGTCATCCGATGGTAAAGAAAAATGATGGACAAAACAATGGGAAAAGAAATGGAATTGTGGTTGTTTTTCTTGATATCTCCGCTTTGCTTCGGCTGCTTATAAGAAGAAAAAGGGCAAGCTCGCATGACATTTGTTTTGACTTTTATTTTTTTAATGAATAATTTTCTCTTTTGACAAATTTTTATGCTAAAAGTCTTAAAAATAAAGATAAACAGCCAAGAGGGCAAAACGAATACGAAATAAAAATAAAAACTAAAATAAAATAATAGATAATAATAATCTAAAATGCTATACAAATGCTAAAAAAAAATGTAAGACCAAAAACATGAAATTAACAAAAATAAAAATAGAAAAGAATTATCACTAAAAACCAAAAATAAAAATATAATAAAAATTATTTAAAAATTTGGTGTTTACAGTTTGCCCCTCTTTGTCTGAGTTTTTGAAAAAATTTGAGACAAAAAAGTAGACACCAAATACTTACCTGTATTGTTTGGCTGCGAATGACTCGAACAATGGACGCTTTTGAAACGAGAACTGACCTCTTTAACAAAATTTTAAATGGGACTGAGTCAAACGAGAAATTTAAAAACGGACTGACCCGAACAAGGCATTTAAAATGGGACTGACCCAAAACAAGAAAGTTTAAAATCAGGACTGACCCGAACAGGAAATTTAAAATCGGGACTGATCCGAAACAGGAAATTTAATTGGGACTGACCCGAACAGGAGATTTAAACGGGACTGACCCGAGACAGGAAATTTAAAATCGGGACTGACTCGAAACAGGAAATTTAAACGGGACTGACCCGAGACAGGAAATTTAAAATCGCGAATGACTCGAGACAGGAAATTTAAACGGGACTGACCCGCACAGGAAATTTAAAATCGGGACTGACCCAAGACAGGAAATTTGAAATCGGAACTGACCTGAACAGGAGATTTAAACGAGACTGATCCGAATAGAAAATTTAAAATCGGGACTGACCCGAGATAGAAAATTTAAAATCGAGACTGACCCGAGACAGGAAATTTAAAATCGGGACTGACCCGAAACAAGAAATTTAAACGGGACTGACCCGAATAGGAAATTTAAAATCGGGAAATTCCAGTGTACTTACCTGAAAATGGCCCAAAAATTTTCAGTAGAGGTTAAGTTTTTGCCTCCGAGGCCGATGGTTGATTCTGCATTGCCGAGTTGTTGTATCTTTTGACCAAATTTGCTTGTAGCCTTTTAGATCCGCCTTTGTTCATTGGAAAACTCTTTCCGATACTGACTCCAGTGCGAAGTGTCGATCATTTTTCATTCATGCATGAAACTTTCCTGCAAAAGAGAAAAACAAAGAAACTGCTGCCATCACTTGATCCGTTTTCCTTTGAAAATCGTGTAAACATGAGTTTTTTAATGCCTTTTCTTCCTTCTTTGCTAACTTTCGCTGCGGCAGCCGATTGAGTTGGATTTCTCGCTCCAAAACTTTTTCGATTTTCAAACTGACCAGGTATGTGTTTTGCCACATTGTGAAATCTGTGTAGCTGGCTTTGCTGAATTTCAACTATTCCCAAAAGGTGATCGAATTTAAGCATGCTTTTGAAATACCCACAGGGATTGTTATTCACCAAAATTCAAGAATTTAAAAATAAAATGAGATATGTAAGAAAATTCACATGTCATGCAGGAATGAATATGCACAAGAATGCAACCATCTGTGCTTAAAACCTACAAAATGCCATGAATGCAAGCAAATTAGGAAAAAATGAACTTCCTATGAATGTATTTGCAAAAGAGTATTTTTTACACAGTGACACAACTTTCGGCCAACAGATGTCATGTTTGAAATCCTGGATATTTTTGTTCTGGAATTCAATGTTAGCAGAAATATTACAAAAATGAGGAGAAATCCAAATGAACCAAGTCACCAGCTGTTCCTCTTCGTGCTTGCTCATTGCAGAACCCTACCTTGGCGCCCTTTCGGGTTTTCACCAAGGTTGCCCCCACCCTTATTTTTTCCTTCTCTTTTCTTTTTTCTTTTTCCTTTTTTTTCCTCTTTCTTCTTTTTTGCTTTTTTTTTTTATTTTTTTTTTGAGGTGCTCTTTCGGGTTTTCACCTAAGGAACAAATGGAAAAACTCGACCATGATCGATTTAGGAGTGTGATTTGAAGATTTCTGGCATCAGTAAAACGTGCTTCCCTTATAAGCTTAAATGAAGGCATTACGGACATCACTTGCCAGTTGATTGGCGAAATTCTTAATAAAAATACAGCAAGTGACGAAAGTCAGGACTTTTGGGCTTTTGTAATGAGGTTAGGTAAGGTGTTTTCAAGAAAGTTGAGGCTTGAAAGCAAAAAAAAATTTTTTTTTTTTCAAGTGTGAAAGAAGCTGAGATTGCACCATTTTGAAATCATCTCCAGTTTTGAATGACACTGAGGAAAATTTGCCCCAGTTTGATTGGAATTTTTCTCTCTTTGCATTTTTCATTGCATTTTCCTCATTTTTGCATTTTTCTTTTAAAAACTAAAATTGCCCCAGTGTGGGCTTTTCTTTTTCATCTTTCTTTCGAAATAAATTTGCCCCAGTGTAGGGTTTGCAATTCTCAGGGGCTGTCAAATGAAAATTATTGTTCTGATAGCTCAAAGGGGATAACTAAGGATGAAATATTTTGATTGGAAAGGAAGATGGTCTGACTTTTGTCTCGCCCCTTGCGTGACTTCTAAAAGAAATTTGCATAATCAAATAAAGAACTTCTTACACATGTCTGAGTTGATAGGTTGAGGGAATGTCTGTCCATCCATCTCTGCCAAAATGAGTGCTCCGCCAGGTAACACTTTTTGAACAATGAATGGCCCTTGCCAATTTGGAGCGAATTTGCCTTTGGCCTCATCCTGCACTGGCAAAATTCGTTTAAGTACTTTGTCGCCTTCCTTAAATGGACGCCGATGGACTTTCTTGTTGTAGGCCCGGGCCATGCGTTTTTGGTAACATTGGCCATGACAAATAGCATTAAGCCGTTTTTCATCAATCAAAGATAGTTGTTCATGACGCTGATTTATCCAATCAGCCTCTTCCAACTTGGTCTCCATTAGAATACGCAATGAAGGGATTTCGACCTCGCCAGGTAGCACAGCTTCCATTCCATACATAAGCGAGTAGGGTGTTGCCCCAGTTGATGTTCGGATAGAAGTCCGATATGCTATTAGTGCATAAGGAAGTTTTTCATGCCAGTCACGATGCTTTTCAGTTATCTTGCGAATAATCTTCTTCAAATTCTTGTTTGCGGCCTCCACGGCTCCGTTCATCTGCGGTCTATAGATGGCAAAGTTGTGATGTCTGATTTTGAACTGTTCGCATAGCCCGTCCACCATGTCATTGTTGAGATTCTTAGTATTGTCTGTAATCAAAGTTTATGGCACCCCAAATCGGCATATGATATGATCTCTTAAGAAATTCGCCACCACCTTCTTTGTCACATGCTTGAATGATTCCGCTTCGACCCATTTGGTGAAGTACTCAATTGCCACCAATATAAATCGATGCCCATTTGAAGCAGGAGGGTCAATTGTGCCAATCACATCCATACCCCACATCGAGCAGGGCCATGGGGCAATCATACTTTGCAATTCGGTGGGAAGAGCGCGTATGATGTCGCAATGCACTTGACATTTAATACATCTCCGGACGAAATCTATGCAATCGCGTTCCATTGTAAGCCAAAAATACCCGGTTCTCATAATTTTTTTTGCCAACAAATGTCCATTCATGTGAGATCCGCAGACACCGCTATGCACCTCTTTCATCATGTATTGAGTTTCATCCTCATCGATGCACCTTAAGAGGTTCAAATATGAGGTCCTTTTGTACAATACCTCTCCATTTAAGAAAAACTTCAAGGCCATTCTGCGCAAGAAACGCTTGTCATTGGCACTAGCTTCTGGAGGGTAAGACCCGATTTTGATGAACTCCTTAATATCATTGTACCAAGGGCTATTGCCAGATGTCTTGTCTATGACCCAACAATGAGTAGGCTTGTCCTGGAGTTGGATCCGGATAGGCTCGATTCCTAGTTCGTCCAGATATTGTATCATAGAAGATAAGGTGACCAAAGCATTGACAAATACATTTCGGGCTCGTGGAAGATGTCTGAATTCCAAACTTTGAAATTGTCTAGCGAGAATGAGCAAATTACAATGGTATGGCAAGATCTTGGAATCTTTGGTTATCCATTGCTTCAACGTTTGATGCACAAGTAAATCTGAATCACTGAAGGCTATCAACTCTTTAAATTCCATTTCCAAAGCCATTTTAAGACAAAAAATACAGGCTTCATATTCAGCCATATTATTTGTGCAGGCAAATTGCAATTTAGCGGCCCCAGGGTAATGCTTCCCCTCTGGAGATACAAGAACTGTTCCTATTCCGACTCCGAAAGAATTAGCGGCACCATCGAAAAACAACCTCCATTCAGGGCACGGCTCGTTCATATCTTCTGCAGCATCAACAAGGAAAACCTCTTCGTCGGGGAGATAAGTATGGAGCGGTTGATAGTCATCGTCGTTTGGATTTTCCGTCAAATGATCGGCTATAACTTGTCCCTTGACGGCCTTTTGCGAAGTGAAAACAATATCAAATTTCGAAAGAATCATCTGCCACTTGGCCATACGCCCAGTTAGCATCGGCTTCTCCAAGAGGTATTTCAAAGGATTAGAGCGGGATATGAGATAAGTGGTGTGACTTAACAGGTAGTGTCTCAACTTTTGAGCTGCCCAGACCAATGCACAGCAGCTTTTCTCAATAAATGAATAATGAGCCTCATACTGAGTGAATTTCTTGCTAAGATATTAGATGGCTTGCTCTTTCCTTCCAAAATCATCGTGTTGCCCTAGAACACAACCTATTGCTCCGTCGAGCACGAATAAGTACATGATCAAAGGCCGGCCCGATTTGGGTGGCACTAGGACTGGAGGGTGCAGCAAATAATCCTTAATTTTGTCAAAAGCTTGTTGGCACTCTTCATTCCAATGCAATGGCACATTCTTTTTTAACAACTTGAATAGCGGCTCGCACGTAGCGGTTAATTGGGCAATGAATCTTCCAATGAAATTAACCTTCCCCAAGAAACTTTTCACATCTTTCTGCATTTTTGGCACTGGCATGTCTCGAATTGTCTTGATCTTTACCGGGTCTATCTCTATGCCCTTTTTGCTGACAATGAATCCCAAAAGTTTACCAGCTGGTGCTCCGAAGGCGCATTTCGCAGGATTTAGTTTCAAATTGTACTTTCGCAACCTTTCAAACAACTTTCTTAGATCAATCAAATGGTCTTCTGCTTTCTTGGATTTGATTATAATGTCATCCACGTAAACCTCCATCTCCTTGTGGATCATATCGTGAAACAAAATAGTCATTGTCCTTTGATAAGTAGCTCCGGCATTCTTTAAATCAAACGGCATTACTCGATAGCAGAATGTGCCCCAAGGGGTGATAAAAGCAGTTTTTTCTCTATTCTCTTCGGCCATTAAGATCTGATGGTATCCAGCGAAACAATCACAGAAAGATTCAATTTCATGTCCGGCAGTGTTATCCAGAATGATGTGGATGTTTGGCAAAGGAAAGTCATCTTTAGGACTGGCTTTATTAAGGTCCCTATAATCAACACAGACTCGTACCTCTCCATTCTTTTTGGAACAGGGACTGGATTCGAGAGTCAAATAGGGTAATGAGATACAATGATAATATTGGTCTTAAGCTGCTTTTCAATTTGCTCTTTTATTTTGAGGCTCATGTCTGATTTGAATTTACGAGGCCTTTGCTTCACTGGTGGGAAAATTGGGTCTGTAGGCAATCTATGCACCACTATATCGGTCGAAATACCAGTCATATCGTCATAAGACCATGCAAATACATCTTGAAACATAGACAAAAACTCGATCATCTCTTTTTTCTGCTTTTCGTTCAAATGAATGCTAATTTTCATCTCCTTAATCTCAGTCTCAGTGCCAATGTTGACAATTTCTGTTTCTTCTAGGTTCAGTTTAGGTTTCTCCTCATATTGTTCGAGATCTTTTGAGAAAAAATCGTATACCTCCTCATTATCACTCTCATCTTGAGATTCAGATTGCATAATTTCCAAGTCGTGAATGATATAGAGATTGTCATCATTGGATTCCAGAACAGTGATATCCATAGGGTCAAATAATTTTATTTTTGGCCATCTGAAAGAATTAAGAAATTCAAAGCAATAAGCAAATAAAACACGCAAATAAACAAGTAAACGAACAATTGTGATAAAAATTACTTGTGCATTTTCATAAAGCTTCAAAGTGAAACAAGACAAAAGTCTGATTGCTAAAGATGCTTTTGTTAAACTATTTACATATGCAAGAAACAGTTTTCATGAACTTTGGTAAATGATAACCCCCTGTAAATTTACCGAAACTCCTGTCGCACGGAAAAGTACTCGGCGGTCCAGTTGTGGATGGCTCCTTTGGGAATATTTGGGAATTCGGCATCACCTGACGGACCATCTTAGGATATTGCTCCCACAAACAAATGAGTCAGGCTTGTTTCCACTTCGTCAATTGGATTAAATTCAGATGTAATGACTTCAGTCGGCTTTGGAAAGGTATAGCGTAGTGGTGGGATGTCTAAAGCACCTATCTTGCCTCCTTTTTCTGCCCTCTTGCGTGCTTTCATCTCCTTTATATCTCTAGCAGTCGGACGGAATCCTAAACCAAATAAGTCCTTCTTTTCGATGAGCTCTACGGGTTTCAGAATGCCTTGTAGATTGCGTCCCAATCCCTTATCAAATTCATATCCTCCGCAAATCATTTCCTTGGCCATCATAACACTGGCCGCTGGCAAAATCATTTCATCTTTTGAATCCTCACTTGTTATCCAACTCACAGAAACAATGTCGGCTGTACGGTAAGAAGACACTGAAGCATTTCGGTTACCATCCTCCTCAGGCTCGGAATCGGCAATTGCAATGCAATCTTCTTCGGCAAAAATGGTTATTAGCTAGTCTTTCACTACAAATTTCAATACTTGATGCAAGGAAGAGGGCACAGCGCCAGAGCTATGAATCCATGGCCGCCCGAGTAAAACATTATAGACACTGGAAAAGTGCATAACTTGGCAGGCTATCTGAAATTGAGCGGGCCCCATTTCGACTACCAAATTTACTTCTCCTATGGACTCCATCGAATCCTCGAACTACGGTCTCTGAGGGTTTTAATTTGACATCTTGCAAACCTAACTTCACCAAAGTGCTCCAAGTACAAATATTGAGGGCAGACTCATTGTCGATCAGTACTTTAGGCAACATTTTCCCATTGCACCTCACAGCTACATATAAGGCTTTGTTATGACCAGTTCCTTCCGCAGGCAGCTCTTCATCAGAAAAAGTGATTTGTTTAGCAGTCAATACATTTTCGACTATGTGCAAGAAATTGTCCACCGAAATATCTTTGGGAATCCGAGCCTTAGTCAAAACTTTAAGTAACGCATCCCTGTGCAAGTCGGAGGAGAAAAGCAAGTCTAAGATGGAAATTTGGGCGGGCATTTTGTTCAACTGTTCAACCACATTATATTCGCCTCTTAAGAAAATCCCATGCCTCTTTTTCAGTCACTGCGGCTTTGGTAGTCGGCTCATAATTGCTTATTTTGACTGGGACGCCAGCAGTGGATGAGCTTGCGATTTTTCCTGACCTCGTAAGAACAGACACTTCTTCCTTCAAAACTTGTTTACTCCCGATTTACAAAACGGACTCACTATAATTCCACGGTACTTGTTGTAAGCTGAAAACTGGCACTTGTTCTGGGAACTCAATTATCACGGGTTCTAAAGCCGCACTTTCGGATGAGGTTAGGTCTAAAATGAAGGGCTTTTTGTCTTCCTCATACGATGCTTCCTCTATCACAAAAGGTTGATCCATTATCCCGAACACTTCTGTTTCATTTGACATGCTTCGAACGAGCTCTTCAAATTCCTTATCATCCATAATAACTCCGATAGTATCAGCGTATTCTGGCAAAGGATTCTTGCTCACGTTTGGTCCTTGCTCTTCCCTTTTCCTAATCACAATTTCTCCTGCTTCGAGCATGTCTTGAATCTTATGTTTGAGGAGTCGACAATTGACAGTGGAGTGACCAGGTGCCCCTGAATGATAAGCGCAACTAACCTGTGAATTGTACCCAACAGGCATGCCATAAGGGTAAGTTGGAGGGGAAATCACGTCTATTTTACCGATAACCTTTAATTGCTCATATAACTGATCCAAAGGCCTGCCTAAGTTGGTGAACGTTCGGGTACAATTTTGATTGTAGGTTTCAATAGGTTGGGGATAGTTGTAGGTAGGTCTGTTTGGTGGGAGAAATATTTAATGGTAAGGAGGTCACGGACGAGTTTGTTGAAAGTTAGGTTGAGATATTTGGAAAGAGGCCGTAGGTGGGTTGGTGTAATTTGGGCGAGGTCGGAGGTAGGAGATATTGGTATTGTAGACAGGATGAGGACTTGGATAGTAGGGATACGGTGGTGAATATGTTGGTTTGTGTTGAAATTTAGGTCTTGGTGTAGGGTTTTGGTCCCAGATGAATGCAGTTTCCCCTTCTTTCTTTTTAAATTGCGACTTTTTCCCACTACTCCCTTGTTCTTGTAAACCATCCAACTGCGATTTGAGGGCAGAGATATTAACGATCTTCCCAACTCTTACGAAATCATCGTACTCTTCAAGTTTATTGACAATAGCAGCAAATGAACATCCAGTCATGCGAAAAATTTCTTCAAAGTATGGCAGATCATGTGCTTTAATGAAAGTGCGGATAATTTCGTCCTCAATCATTGGTGGCTTGACTTTTGCAGATATTTTCCTCCATCTCTTAGCATAGGTTTTGTGGTCCTCAGAGGGTTTTCTCTTTGTTCCTTCCAACGTGGTTCGTGTCGGAGCCAACTCGCAGTTATACTCATACTGGCTTACAAAAGCATTGGACAAATCAAGCCATGTCTTTATTTCTTCGGATTTCAGATTGGAATACCAGTCAAGTGCATCCCCCTCTAGACTTTTTGGGAACAGCCTTAGAGGCAGATTCCCGTCATCTACGGGTCTTCCCAATTTGTTAGCGAATAGTCGGAGGTGTGTCTTGGGATTACCTGTCCTATCGTACTTGTTAAACTTCGGCGTTTTGAATCCAACAGGCAATTGTACATCTGGAAACAAACAAAACTCATCATAATACAGCACTCCTTGCTTATTTAACCCCTGACTTTTTCTCATAAACTCATCAAAGCGATCCAGGCGCTTGAGCAACTTTATATCAACAGGAGCAGAAGATTCTCCCATCTCTGGTTTGGCTTGGACAACAGGGTTTGGTAGTAAGGGCTCTGCAGCGGTGGGATAAAAAGTATACTGCTCAGGAAGTACATTCGAAGTGACTTGGGGTGGTGGAATTTGCGTGTGAGTAGGAAGAAATGAAGGATTAAGGGGATAGGTGTATGGCAAATTGGTAGTGGTATGGGTGAAAGTTTCTTCGGGTGGGATAGGGAAAGATGAAATAACCGTAGTTTGAGTTGGGGGTATGACAAATGGTTCTGGCTCTGGTTGATTGACAGGTACGGATTCGGGTTGAACACCACCACTGATAAGCTGATCAATCAATTTCC